GGAAATGTAAGTGTTCAACTCATTTAACTAATAAGTTAGTGTATCACAATCAATACTTGTTTTCTCTTAATATTAAAAGCCTGAATATAAACTGCTTAGCTGCATGTTTTCCAAGAGCATATAAATGGAAGGATGGATGCACCAATTGCATTAGCATGAATTAAAATTAAAATATGCACTGAATGTGAGGGGAAAAAAAAAAATCAGCGTTTTCATTCAACTCCTCCCCAGCAACACTACATAAAATAAAATATGCAATTTCTACATCCAACAGCATATATGCCCCCAAAAAAGTTAAATATTTTATTGATAATTTAGCCGAGTGAAATTAAATTGTGCTAACTTTTTTCTTCTGTAGAAAGAATTTACTTTGTTCACCTGATTCCAGATTGACACTATAGAAGCCTTAATCCCATATCAATAAACCACACACATCACACTTCCAAGTCAGAATTAAAATGTTGGTTTGGAAAATAGAGAACACAAAGCAAATTATTTAATGCACATGGTACATGATGGATTTCCTGCACCATTTGATGGTATCAGCATGTGCTAATTACTGAAAAGGAGATAATTACATAAATTCTGTTGTTTAAAGTGCAGGGACATACCTTATCACTGCACAACCCTTCAAGACTGCAATGGGAAAGGCTATTTTATGACACAGATAAATAAAAAAGTCATCAAATGGAGACGTTAGCATCAGAGGGCTTGGACAGCAGAACTCCCCTACACAAGTCTACAGCTTTCCAAAACCATATCAGTGTCTTTAGCAGCTGGTTTATACTACACTAAAACCAGACAGAATGCAAACCAAGGATTAATGCATCCTTAGGAAGCATAAACTCTTAATTAGAGTGTGACCTTGCCTATTACTCTGCTGTTTCATAGCATTTAGGGTGATGATCTTTGATCCTACTTGGTCATTTGCAGGTAGGTCAAAATGTTTTCTACTTGTGCAGCTGGCTGACTGCAATTCAAATCTGCCTCACAAACAATACAGCCACAGTTCGCACCTACATCCCATCATTTCATCAGAAAAGTCCATTCTGAGCAACAAACAAAGCCCTCTAAAGCTCTAACCTCAGAGATTTGCCAGCATTTCTTGTCAAAACTGGGTTTCATAGCTTGAGTCCTCTGGTAACTGCAGCAACACAATTTCTGTATTTGAATTTTGCTGCTTTCAGACAGAAAAAGACCCAGAGTGAATGAATTTACCTCAACTGTCAAAAGATTGTGTAGACATGACCTTGCTATAACTCCTTCCAGATTCTTAATTTAAGCCTACAGTACTCACCACAGCTTGTTCATAGAAGGCTATGACACATTTCCAAAGCAAAATGGAATGTGCCACTTTTTGAATGAATGTAGTGGGGTTTTAGAGATGATTTCTGTGCTTCCTCCAGCTTATTCAGTCCCCAACATTCCTATATTTTACCTTATACAATCCTTTTTCCATATAGTACTATATGAAAAGGATGCTGTTGTACTTTTTGTTAATGTACTTCATCAACTGCACTATTTTCAATAAATCTTAAGAAAATGAAAATTAGAGTCATTCACAGAAAATTTCCAGAACAATTTCACACTTACTTTATAAAGCTCATTTAGAATTCCATTGCTCTGTCTGGTATGATGGCAGCTCACAGAATGGAGGCAAGTTGAGTGAAAGCCTAAGCCACTCCAGGAGATGGTATATTGGAAGCTATATACTGTAAAAATGATGTCAGGCCAAGAGCTAGATTGGAGCCTTCCAGCAGATATTTAATTTGTTTGCATTTCAAAACAAACAAACAATCTCCCACTTCATGTTTGTTTCTTGGCCCATGAGATCTCTAGTCACACCACCCAAATCAAAGATGGCAAAGGCTGGGACTGGAAGAATGAAGAACTTGCCATGGTAGAGGAGAACAGGTTTGAGACCATCTAAGGAACCTGAAGGTGCACAGGTCCATGGGACTTGATGAGAGGAATCCACAAGCCCTGAGGGAACTGGTGGATGAAATGAGCCAAGAGCACTCTGGTACTTGTCATCTGGGGTTAAACCACGGCTTAATTACCATGGTTTAACCATTGTCACGGGTTAAACCATGACCCATCTCTTTATATGTCTTTGTAGGAAGCCACAGTTTGATTCTGTTCAAACCCACAACAGTCACAAAGTCAGTTACAGAGAGCTCCACAAGAGAATTCAACCTTATTCTCATAGAATTCTTACAAAGAACTATGATTTTAACAGTATGAACTGCCTGAGGATACCCATAATTCTCCTTTGGTGTTTTTGTTTGCTTGGTTTTTGTTTGTTTGGGTTTTTGTTTTTGCCTTTTTTTTTTTTGTTTGGTTTTTGGATTTTTTTTTTTTATTGTAGAGGGAGAGAGCTGGACCAGTTACCTAATTCTATAGAACTTAAATCAGATGTAGTTAGTGCCCTGATGACACTGAGGTGGGAATGATGAGCTTTAAATGGGCAGAATCTCTTCTTCCACAAATGAGGACTACAATGGCTAAATGAAATGAAATAATAGTACATTTTTTACTATATGAAGTATTAAAAATCCCCATAAATGTATTTTATCTTTGCTTTCATATATTTTCCCAGTCACTAAATGCTAAGTGGTAGCATGGGAGTACTTATGCTTTAAAGTGCATGCTTACTTCCAGTATAGGCAGTCCGGTTTCCATTTTCAGCACATTTTAAAAGACAGGAACTGGTTGAAGAAAACCCACACATAATGATCTGAAGTAACATCAAGAACAAGTAAAACCCTAAAGCTTCTGTTCAGCTATGAAAAAGGGAATCAGAGTTCTAAACATCCTATTCCACACCAGCACAACTGTGCTGAAAGAGACAGACAGGGAGATACGTGTTTTCATCTCATTTCAAAAGTTCCGTATCTTTTCAGTGATTTCTCATGGGCAGCTCCTCACAGCACAGCCAACAAACTCCAACTTGCTTCACGACACAACCAACAAACTCCAACTCTCTCCTCACCCAGCTAACCCACTCTTTTGTAGCACTCCTCTTCTTATTGGACACAGCTGTGGCCTGTAAAGGGCAGGGCTGTTCCTAATCTTTGGTGATTGGTACAGCTGCAACTCCTCAGGTGTGAGATTGCGTTCTGCACTATCTTTATTTTCTTACATTCTATCCCTCCACAGATATGTTCCTCCATCATCCCAATTAACTTGTGTGAGATCAGCTTAGTCTTGCTCTTAATGCCCTACTCAAAGGTCCAGCACCTAAAATTTCCCATTACAACAGACTTACAACATGAAGCTCTTAAAACATGAAGACTTCCCTCTTACCTTCCACAGGTGACTGTGAAACCTCCAAGAATAGTCCGAAGCAGCTGGCTAAAGCATGCAACCCCACTGCTTTCATCATTTTTGTACCACATATGCATGTATGTATATTTCCATATATTAATATATCTCACTCTGGCATCATTCAAAGGCTCTAGAAATCCTTTCTGCTCTGCTGGTTTTGTTGTTTGTATACTAACAAACAACACCTTCATAGAAGCAAATATTCTATTTTATACACATAAAAATTGTGTATTTATATTGACTCAAAGGTACTTTCTGTATCAGGAGGTTTTCAATATCATATTAGCTTACTAAGTGGGGTTTGTATCTCTAAGAACTTCAACTTGTGAAATTCAGTAGAATATAGATTTTTCTTAGACAGGATTAAAATGAGGGTTCTTGTGAACACTGGTATGTCTTTCAGGCCTGAAATTAGGCAGTGGTATTACTGCTGTTTATTTTTTCACACAAATGGCACAATCATATTGTCGCTGAATCCTTGTGCTTGGGCAGGCTTTGATATTGTAGCTGATTGAGCTGGGATAGATCCTCCATGGGGCTCTCAATCCATCTCATCCTTCTAGCTTTTATTCCAGAAACTGAGATGGGTAAAGATTTTTGGTTTTATTCTTTTGGACTTGAAACCACCAGTAGATTGTATATCTGAACCACATAATCTGAAGCAACTTCGTGCTTGTTGGCAGTTCCACTTTAAGAAACAAAATAATACTTTCTGGGTTCTCAGTAGATTAAAAATATATTACCAATTTCAGACATAGCACAGCTTGGGAAATACAATATGTACTTAATCATCAAGGCAGACTTACTGCGTTCCACTGATTTTTGATTAAGCAAAACAGACAGAAAAACAAAACAAACATTGTTCTTCCAATCAGAGGCCTCTACTGGAAATCAGTGTTTCTGTATTACACTGGATTTAAAAGGCCCTTATCAAGAGAAAATTCTTATTTCATGAAAGACCCACTGTGCTTATGTTTCACATTGCACTTCACAATTCTTGCCATTTAAATCACAGGCACTTCTAAGACATAAAAGGGCTGTTACTGTGATTTTTTCCCCATAATCATTGTTCCTTTGCTTCTAATATAACATCCACTGTAAATACACTCAGTGGGTCGATTTTGCTCCCACTTATGAAGTCCACTTAACCTTTCCAGGTTCCAGGAAAAGTGTTTTGTTTCTTAGTAATGATGCAGGAACATTTCTTAAGAAAGCTTCAAGGGGAGGGGTTTTTAAAATTTATTTAATTAAGGTTCTACACAGGATAAACATCATTATCAATGACAGCCTGCCCAATCCCTATACTTTATATTAAGGAACATGTAAAGAACCTTGTGCATTAAAGATGAAGAGTTTGAATGTTAGTCCCAGAATCCATTGGGATGTGTGAAAACCTACAGAATTTCATTTTTCATTTGCTCTATGAAAGTTTGATTTCCAGGAGTCATATGAGTTAATGATCTCATAAGGTTCCCATGTCCATCAAGGTAATTTTTTTTCTGTCTGTACTATTCAGGAACAATAAATATCCCACTTCTGTATGTCACAAATGCACCAAAGGTGATCTTCACCATCAGGAAAATCAGTTTCCTATATTGTGAAAACCTGTAAAATACTCTTTACATAGTTCCAGAATCTCACCTGCACTACAAAAAGGGTTTTTTGCCACATACCTTCTTTTTGTTGGTGGAACAAATGTAGAAATTGTCAATAACAGTGGCAATCCCGGGCTGTAGATTCAACTTTGTGTATAATGTCCCAAAATCTGAAGACCTGAAAGAAATCAAACATCTGTAAGTGCTCTTTTCTAAAGGCTTCAGCATTGAAACTCTGCAAAGAAAACCTCTCTCTGTGCACTAACAGCCCATTTTCAGTGCTTCTCTGCCATCCTTTTGTTCTTTTCAGTGTTCATTAGCTACTAAAAGAAACCCACTACTATGAAGAAAACTAAATTCTAGGTTTGAAAAAAATGCCTCGTTCTGTCTGTACTTTGAAGTTCTCTGCAGTGTTAGCTTATTTTTTTCTGTGCAGTGACAGAAGCCTGACATGTACACCTTTCCATCACCACCCACAAAGTGGGAAAAAAAGACCTATGATGAGCACAGGCTCATTGGCAAGTACTAACAGCATCTCCTCAGCTGTGCAGAAAAAGAAGAGTTGACTTCAGAGCTTGCTGTTGCTTAAGAGAAGAATTTGGCCCAAGATCTCGAAGATTCACATTAGACCTCTAGCAGAATTAGCATTGAATAAAGGTATCCCATCCACTACTCCAGGTCTTTTTCAGAGGATCGCTGAATTTTGAATTAAAACAAGGAAAGTCAGTATTTGGCCATCAGTATGTCACACAGACATCTTCATGAGTATTTCAAATGTAGGCACTCTGCAGAGTTGTTCCATACTTCTGAAAAGCTGCCAGTGAAAAATGGCATCCATGCTCTGCAATTGTATTGCCAATTTCAATTATAAAAAGAATGGACAAGTAAAATGTTAATATAAAGAAAAGTCAGAGCAAGTCACACCCAAATTTAAATCACTTTGGATGAAATCTTGCTTGTTCTTTTCAGGATCAAACCATATGCCCTCTCCATATTTACAGTTATTCATCTTGCATTTGGAAAGGGACTCAGACACATCTAAGGCACTTGTCCCTTCTTCACCAAGAAGCACTCCCTAGGACAGAGTTGGTGGGAGGACTTCCACTCTATACACCCTTTTCTCTCCCTGGAATAACAAGCAGGGCTGAAGGTACCCTGCCTTAACTCTGCATCATTCAAACAACTGGGAGCACTCAAAAGCTCTCATGTCAAGAGAACCATGACAAGACTGTCCCACCCAGTGTGACACTGCACTGCCTGAGCAGTGATTTCTGCCCAGCAGCTCCTTTCTACCACATTCATTGCTCCCCAGCAGGCTCTGCTGCCTCATGCTCTTCACCCAGGGCAGTCACTGCTGAAGTTTGTGGGAGCATGACTGAGTACAGTGAGAGAGAACAGAGAAGAACCAAGTCCCTGGCTGAGTGTGTACACATTGAGAAGTAGCCCACTGCCAGAGGTCTCCTCCAAGCCATGTGAGGCAGGTTATTCCCTGAACGGCTGGTGCCCACAGAAAGCCACCATGAGCATCCCACCTATGTCCCAGTGCCACCCAGAATGTCATTGAAGTTGGAGGGCATGTTGTATGAAGCCAGGGGTGCCTTCTGTGCTTTCACCAATCCAGCTTTCCACAAGATACAGGAACTTTCAGCTGCTGCCATGGAGCAGCTTTCTGTCTTTGGCATCAGCAGGCATAGTGGGCAGACAGAGATATGCCTGGAACAGGTCCTAAGGAATACCTAGAAAGGTTCATATTTACCTTGCTTTTCTTCCTTCTCCACCAGTTAAAAAAAACCAGTTGGTCATAACACAATGACACCCAGGCCATCCTCCAGACTAAAGCTGGGAGTTTAGCCATTTTATTGTGTTATCTGAATGGATTTGATCTGGGATATTTTTCCCCCACAATGTTGCTTTCTCTGCAGATATACAGCAACGCATTAGAGAATTAACCGAATCATGGCAATTCGATTTTGACAAATAAATATGTAGATATCAAACACATAAAACTGCAGTGCACTACCGGGTGTTCAGCACAGAACTAATTAAAATTCTAAGGGGAATAGGATGGACAGTGATAAACCTAATTTGCCAGTGGTATTTGACAGAAAGAAATTACAGCAAAGACTTAAAATATCAACTTCAGACAGATGTATTGAAACCATGCAGAACAAGTATGTATAATGGAAACATAACCTAGTCTATTCTCTTTGAGGGAAGATTATCAGGTCAGTGGCTAGCCCAGTAATAACATCCTGAAATAATTCTCTGAACCTTAAAGATGATTCAATTTACTTTGAAGAGGCAGTTTCAGGATTTCAATGGGACCACTGGAGAGTGACACCATGCGAGGGACACCATGGCAACTCTGTCAATGTGTGAAAAGAGTACAGGCAGGAAGCCCAAAAAAGATAAGCAAGTTCCAAGATAAAAAGTTCTAGTCCAAAACTTTCCCTTCTAATTCTCATGACTTATAGATAGAATGCAAAAAATGAATAAAGTTTTAACAAGAGAGCTCTAAGTACTGTGTTTTCAGTTTCAGACAAATGTAATAAAACTATACAGTCAAAAATTTTTTTTTTTCAGGTAAAAATTAGCAATCTCAAGGGAAAAAAGAAATCCAGTTCCAGCCTGAGAAAATAGGCAACTGTATGTCCTGAAAAGTACACCATACCTAAACAGGAAAAACATGATTGGAAGATCTATGGATCTATGGAGTCAGAATGTATTCTGGCTTCCAAATCTTTTTTACTATACCCCAGACTTGAGAGAGCCCAGGAATGCCAGCTATTCTTTGAGACATTCATCCACAAGAGGACATAGTTCAAGGGCATCATTCAAGGGGGGCACTGTGAAAAATAATGGGTTTTCCAAATCTACTGTAATCCAGAGAAAACAGGTCACCTCAACTTTTTCACTTAAAATATAACTTCAAAGTTCCTGACTGCATATATAAAGAACTAACATTTTGAAGCATGCAGCTAGAACAGAATATCCTTTAATTGCACTACTAAGCTACAGACAGTTGGGGAGGATGAATTCTATAATCCCAGTGCACACGTATTTCAATATATATTTAAACATATATTTGTACTTGTACAAAATTAAGGAAAGGAGGAGCCCTTTATGGTTTTAATGGAAAGAGGACACACATGTACCTGATGAGAAGAGTAAAGCTTCCTCCTATACCATGGTTTATTTGAAGTGGCAGCACAACAGCAGAACTCCATAAACTGGAGCAAGATATGTACAGACTGCCTTGATAAAGAAGGGCCTGACCTGCAGTTCTAAGTGATCTGGACACAGTTAATCAGAATTTTGGCTTTATGTAACACATTGTAGGGGAAACAGCAAGCTATACTCAGGCTGCTTCCTGCTGCTGTGTATCCATCTGTGCACTACAGGCTACAGATTACAAGGGTGTTTCTTCATTGAGCAAAACTTAGTGGAGGATTCACAGGATACACATCATCCAGTACTCAGGAGACAGAACCATTGGATGGTGGGACAACATGATTACTCACATACTGATGCAGACATCACACAACCTGAGCCAGGCAGTTTGTGGCTTTTTTGAAGTCATGTACATAATTCTGCTGTAATATGTGTTAGCCTTTTTTTTTTTCTTTTCCCTTTATGGAAAAAATCAGTTCTCACTGTAAGAACAGCATGTTCAGATAAGAGTCCTCAAAATCATACAGTGATATTACAGCACAGACATAATCAGCTCTTTTTAGCTTAATATTGTGAGCACAAAAAAATAGGTGGGAACACGTCCAAGTGGTAAAGAAATGTACCCTCATGAAATAAAACTCCCAAAGCCCCTAAGCTCTCTACAAATTTAGGCCTCATCCTCAAACATGTAACTTTTTTTAGATTTGAGGTAAAATAAATCTGTGTCTAACATAATTTGGAACTGTACCTAAACATTGAATCTGGATATCTTCCAAAAGAAATTTTGAGAAAGAAGAAGAAATTTAGCAGATACCGAAAGAGACATGAACCAAATGTCTGCCTTTCTGAACTTCACTACCATTATAAAGCTCTCTCCTGTAACTCACACCTATGATTCAACATTGCTCATTGTTAGTTGTTTTTCCAGGTTTTATTTACAAGTAGATATTTAAAAATATATAAGAAAAATTAAAATTTAGTATAGTAAAATGTTAATGAAGATTGTTAGAGATGAAAATTGCATTCCCAAATCAAATGTAATACTCAAAGAACACATCAACTGCAAAAAAAATGCTTCCTTCCTTTTTTTTTGTAATGAATTGAAGAGACACTCGAAAGAGAATGGTTGGAACACTTAACACACATGTTCATCAGATTTCCTCTACTTTTTCTTCTTGAAGACTAACTCAAGATTCATTCTAGTCAAATGAGTCATATTGTACAAGCTCCATTAACCTAAAATCTTAGAAGACAACAATGAAGAGGTTTCAAATGACTCTTGGACCACTAAACTGGTGAAACTAAAAAAAATGTCTATTTGAAAGAAAAGAATAAAAAGATCTGCTGGTTTAGATAATTGGGAAATTGTTGAAAAAAAGATTCAATTGAGATGCACATTAGAGAATCAAGGAAGAGTGGATCTGTACATAAAACTCACTTGACTGCTTCCCACTTAATTTTCTCCAGACTCTATTGCAAATGTTGTCTTCCCACCTTCCCCTCCTTTCAGTCAGCAGAACAGTCCAAGATTTACAGCATGAACTTTTAAAATACAGGATAAATTATTTTAGATTCTTGCTCTGGGACAGACTTAGATCTAACAGTAGGATTTCCTTTGTGCTCTGGTCCCTCACCTGAATAATAGAGACAACACTGTTGACTACACCTCAAATGTGTGTAAGGAAAATAGATAACTACAGCAGAGTAATGAGGAACTGGCTGATGGAGTATCTAAAACAGACACATCAGAGGTTCCAGCAACAAATACCAGGACAAGCGTACTGAAAGGGAAGAAACCAGAGGAACATCATTAAAGAAGTGGAAAACTAACTCATCATCTTCACTTAAACAGCACAGAAGCCTTCAAAGGTTTTTACATGTCCAATGTGGAAATTGCAGAGGCTTTGGTTAGCCTCATAAAATCCTTTCAAACAAAACCCAAAACCTCAAAAGCCCCAAAGCCTTTCTTCAGAGAACAAACACATTGTAACATTGAATTCCAACACC